ATGGCATGGCATCAATCAATTGCAGGTAAAGGGTGCCAGGAATAAATGCAGAGAAGGATACGGGGAATGTAACAGGAGTGCACAGTGCGCATTGTGAGTGTGTTATGCTTCACATACTACAAAAAAAGAAGGAAACGAACAGTGGCAACAATGGCTTGCAGGGAGTACCAACGAGATCCGTGCTGTTCTTGAGAGCTGGATTCGGTCATGCCGCCAGTTCCTTCCCCTCACGAAACACCCATCGCGGTCATACCACCCATCCCTTACTCTTTATCCCCGTGCCACACCACTCACCACAATCTCCTCCGTGCCATTCGCACTCCGAGAGACCAGCTCCACCCGCTGCATGCCCACCGCTGACTTGGAGAACGAGACACGCAACGCCGCCCGCTCCCCACCGCCCCTGTCAGCACCAGCAGCACCACTACCACGAATGTCCCCCACACCTTGCCACCCTCCAAGCGTAACAGTATCACCCCCTTCCAGCCCGCTCCCTCCCCCTACCCCTGCACCTCCTTCTCCCCTACCCATCCTCCTACCCTCCTTCATTCCCCCACCGCCCTGCAAACCTCTCCTGCTACCTCTCCCCCTGCTCCCTGCCTCCCTCCCTCTCCTTTCTCCACCGTCCATCCCTCCCTCCTCTCCACCGCGCACCACCATCCTCCGCCCTCTCGTCTTCCTCCCCCTCCCCGCCTTGCCGGGTTGCTTCTCGCCTGCCCCTGCCTGGGCCGCTGCTGCAGCTTCTGTCTGGGCTGATGCTGCTTCAGATGCTGCTGCTGTTGCCGCCGCTGCTGGTGTCGCAGGTGGCGATGCTGCCACAGACTGTGCTGCTGCTGCTGCTGCTGTCGCTGCCGGTGCTGCTGGAGAATTAGCCACACTGCTCCATGCAGCACTCTCGTATGCCCTGCCGGGTGTGTCTGCATGTGGGGCAGGCAGGGAAAGAATTGTGAGAGGCAAGTGAGCAGGGGAGCCGAGTGGTTTGCAGGGGTGCTGTGTGGTGACACGAAGCACACACACACACGCAGTGTGCCCTGCTGCTTGCTCTGTGTGCATTCTGCTTGCCTGTCCGCATGCTGCTAGCTTCTCTGCAAGAGATCTACCTTGGTGCGGACTGTCCTTTTCTCTGAGATATACAGCACAGCCGATGTACTTGCCCTGCTAGAAGGGACTTACGAGACACCGCAAAAATACACAGTTTTGCGCATCCTGCCCTTTGAAGTAAGCTGTATAGCACAAAATTTGACGCGCCTCAAAAGTGAGCTATTTAGTAAAGCACAACATTTGACGCGCCTCAAAAGTGAGCTGTATAGCACAGCTTTTGGACCCTGACTGACAACTTATACACCCGGCTCTTCCGCTCTGAGTGAAGAGCTCTTGAAGCAGGCCATACCGCATAGCTGCTAGGTGCTGTACCTTGGCTTGCAGGCGAGACAAAGAAGGTGGCGTATCCAAGAGGAGGCACCTCCGCCCTGAACACAAGCGACAGCACTGCCTGCTGCTGCTGCTGCTGCTGCTCCTGCCCCCCCTCCTTCTGCTCTCCTTCCCGCTGCTCCCCCTCCTTCTGCTCTCCCTCCTTCTGCTCTCCCTCCTTCTGCTCCCCCTCCTTCTGCTCCCCCTCCTTCTGCTCTCCCTCCTTCTGCTCCCCCTCCTTCTGCTCCCCCTCCTGCCCCCCCTCCTTCTGCTCTCCCCCCATCTTCTCCTTAGTCTGCCTTCCCTGATGCTTCATTTTCTGCTTATGGCTCGGCTGCGGCCCTTGCCCATCACCATAATCCTTCCACTCCTCCTCCTCCTCCCCCTCCCCTCCCTCCTCCTCCCCTTCCTCCCCCTCATACCTTCCCTTCTCCAATCCCTTCCCCCCTTCCTCCCCTTCCTCCCCTTCCTCCCCTTCCTCCTCCCCCTCCACCTCTCCTACTATGCCCCCCACGCCAGTGTAAGCAGCAATGTAGGTGGAGCGGGTGGAGGGGGAGAGGAGGGTCTCTTGGAGTATTTGAGAGGGGATGGGGGCGCCAGAGGCGTCTGTGACTTGGAGATTAGGGGACGACACCTGTCAAAGAGTGCAACGGGAGGGGGAAAGAGGGGGAGATGGGGAGGGGGAGGGCGGATGTATAAGCCCTCATGTGAGTGGGCCGGATGGTAACATCGGCGAGTGTCTCCTTGAGCGATGCAGGGGCATGGACATGGACAGGGGCAGGGGCAGGGGCATGGCAACGAATGTGTTACGTGGTAATGCTGTGGCAGCTGTGCTGGTGGCGATGCAAGTGCTGATGCAATGCAAGATGGATGAGCTAACTGACAGCATTGTGGCGCGTTGCACCCATACCGGGAATCGAATCACTCCAGAGCGGGACCATGCGAGAGGGTTGAAGGCCACCACCACCTGTGGGATGGGTATGGTATGGATGGGAAAGGTGGAGACGTGTGGGCGGATGGAGCATGGATGAGGAGCTTCTGAGAACTCCCAAGAGCGACTTTGGTCTTACGGTATGGGAAAGGTGGAGACATGCAGTGGGAATGGAAGTGAAAGAGAGAGATGGGGTCGGAGGTGGGTGAGGTGGACGGATGTGACAGGTAGGGATGGATGTGAGAGGTGAATGAGAGACGTAGCACGAAAGGCAAGCAAAAGTGATGGGGAAACGGGCAGTGGAACGGAGAGGAAGCAAGGATACTCAGGTCAGTGAGTTTTAAATTGACTCTATATGACTGGGTGGGGTGGGTGAATGCTTCATGGCGCTGTGTGGGATGGGATGTGTGTGGCACGGCATGTGAAACAACATGCCGGGTACCAACCAGGGTCTGATCTGGCTGCAGGGGTGTTTCGGATGGAGGGCAGTAGGAGATGTTGAGAAGAGGGCACTGTGCGTGGGGGAAAAGGAAAGGAGTGGGGTCGAAGAAAGCAGGGATGAGAGGGGTGAAAGGGGGAGGAGAGATGAGTGGATGGAGGGCGAGATGGATGCAACACAGGTGGGCAGTAGTAGCAGAGCGACAACGATGTGCATCACGCACCATCATCGTCATCATCACACCACCACATCATAACACCATACCACCACCATGAGCATCATCACACACCATTTTCAGGTCCAGTGAAGGCAGCTGCTGCTCCCCACCCTCTGCTTTGGCACCCTCACCCTGCTTCACCCGCCTCCTTCTCCTCCCCCTGCTGCCTTGTTCCACCACCACCTCCTGCCCTCTCCTCTCATCAGGCCGTGTGCCGTCACCAGCAGAGGTTGCATTGGCTCCATCAGACCCAGTCACCTTCCCAGCAGCACCACTCTGAACCACTCCAGGACCAGCCGCACCGTGCTGGACCGCTAGAGGATCAGCTGGGTGCAACGCCTGTGGGTCAAACACCTCGATGGGGTCGCTTGTTGTCTCCTCCTCCTCCTTGTCAGGGACTCTCTTCGCCCGGGACTTTTTTATCGTCGACTCAAAGATTGTCTCGTCCGTCACATGAGGCACTCTCTTCACACGGGACCTTGCTGCATGCTTCCCACCATCTCCCTCACCTGCCTCCTCATCCCCCTCATCTTCGTCATCCGCCGCACCTGCTCTGTCTGCCTCATATAATAACGCATTCATCTTGTCTAATTTGCCTGCCTTACCCTCCTCATCGTCCTCATCCCCCTCATCCCCCTCATCCTCCTCATCTGCTCCGTCTGCTGCCTGGTCCCAGAACCCCCACCCGCGCTGCCCTTCGGAGTCCTCCTTGAACGTGAACTCCACAGCTGCTGCCCGGGAGGAGAGGTTGGATGGAGGGGGTACGGATGGGGATTGGGGGATGGTGCCTCGCATGATGAGGTGCGCCAGTGCTGCTGTGAGCACGGCTGATGCCTGCACGGGCAGTGGGTGGGGTGGGGAATGGGAGGTTGGGAGATTGCGAACGGCTGTCAGGACCAATGGACCGTCTGGACTGTCTAGGTCCAGAACCCCCACCCTTGCTGCAAGTCGGTGTCCCCCTTGAACGTGAACTCCACAGCTGCCCGCGAGGAGAGGTTGGAGGAGAGGTTGGAGGAGAGGTTGGACGGAGATGGAGGTACAGATGGGGATGGGGGCATGGTGCCTCGCATGATGAGGTGCGCCAGTGCTGCTGTGAGCACGGCTGATGCCTGCACGGGCAGTGGGTGGGGTGGGGAATGGGAGGTTGGGAGATTGCGAACGGCTGTCAGGACCAATGGACCGTCTGGACTGTCTAGGTCCAGAACCCCCACCCGTGCTGCAAGTCGGTGTCCCCCTTGAACGTGAACTCCACAGCTGCCCGCGAGGAGAGGTTGGAGGAGAGGTTGGAGGAGAGGTTGGACGGAGATGGAGGTACAGATGGGGATGGGGGCATGGTGCCTCGCATGATGAGGTGCGCCAGTGCTGCTGTCAGCACGGCTGATGCCTGCACGGGCAGTGGGTCGGATGCGGAATGGGAGGTTGGGAGGGAGATTAAGAGCGGCCGTCTGGACCACGTGGTTCCAGAACCCCCACCCGCGCTGCAATTCAGGGTCCTCCCTGAACGTGAACTCCACACCTGCTTGCGAGGAGAGGTTGGAGGAGAGGTTGGAGGACAGGTTGGATGGAGGTACGGATGGGAACGGGGGAATGGAGCCTCGGGTAATGAGGTGCGCCAGTGCTGCTGTGAGCACCGCTGATGCCTGCACGGGCAGGATAGGTTGGCAGGGGAAACGGATGGGGATGGTGGGGTGTGTGGAGTGTCTGGAGATGGGGGGATGGTGCCTCGCATGATGAGGTGCGCCAGTGCTGCTGTCAGCACGGCTGATGCCTGCACGGGCGATGCGTGGGGATGGGGAATGGGAGGTTGTGAGGTTAGAGCCAGCCTCTACCCACTGAAAGGAACAATCTCTTACCATGCATGTCGCACCCCAACCATGCATGTCGCACCCCAACCATGCATGTCGCACCCCAACCATGCATGTCGCACCCCAACCGAACCCATACATGTATGTACGCAGCGCCCAAGCCCTTTAAGAACCCTCACCCCATGGCAGGTCGATGCATCCGGGCAGAGTAGTCATCAGTAACATGCTGCTGTGCCGTGCCCGTGATGCCATCATGGTGTTGCACCACTGCCACTGCCTCCTCCAACCCACATGCCATGCACTCACAGGAGCAGTCTCTACTCCACCCACTCAAGCCCTTGGAGAACCCTCACCTCCTCGGCATCGTGGTGCAGCCTATCAGAGTAGTCATCAGTGACGTGCTGCTGTGCCGTGCCCGTGATGTTGCATTGCATGCATCAGCGTTCACACATGCACAGAGCGCAACACCTAGTACTAGTCCCACTCCATTCACCACTAACCTGCACAGCAGCGTGGTGCAGTCTAAGGGGTAGTCATTACTGACGTGCTGCTGCTGCGCCGTGCCTGTGATGCCGTCATGGTGCTGCACCACTGCCACCGCCTCCTCCCCATGCCATGGCACTCACAGGAGCAGCATCTTCCCAAGCCCTTTAAGAATGCTCACCTCCTCAGCCGCGCGGTGCAGCCGGGCAGAGTAGTCATCAGTAACGTGCTGCTGTGCCGTCCCCGTGATGCCGTCATGGTGTTGCACCACTGCCACCGCCTCCTCCAGCCGGAACGAGCTCGCCACTCGCACCCGCCTCTCGCCCTCCCACCCCACCCTCATCCCCTCCACCCCTCTCGCACTCTCCCCCCCATCCGCCTGCTTCTGCTCCTCCTGGCTGTCTCTGGTCCTCTCCCCCATGTGCGGGTCCAGCACAAGGTGTTCCAGTACCACCATGCGCCCGGTCGCAATGCCCCACGCCTGTAGCACTTCCTTCCCCACTGCTGCCTCTGCTGCTGTGGTGGCCTGTGGGAGAGATGGGAGATAGAGGCACGTGCAGTGCAGTGTTATGCACAACGGTCTGGTCCTCCTGGCTTGCCCCTCCCCCCATGTGCGGGTCCAGCACAAGGTATTCCAGTACCATCATGCGCCCGGTCGCCATGCCCCATGCATGCAGCGCTTGCTTTCCCACTGCTGCCTCTGCTGTTGTAGTGGCCTGCAGGGGGAGAGGCAAGGGAGGTAGAGGCACGCACAATGTGATGCTGGTAGGTGAGTAGAGACAGCTTCAGCCTGCTTCTTGTCCTCGTAGAAAGGAAGCAACGGCACGTGTGCTTCTGAGTCTCCTTAAGAGGCAAGTGTGCTTTTCAATAGCGTTAAGTGAGGTGAGACAGGCGAGTGAAGGCATCAGTAGCTTCCAGCACTGACGCCTACCACCAACCAGTCCCCTGAATTTAAGCTAGGCGAGCAGCACAGACTGTTGTGACCAATGGTTGAAAGAACAGGCCAGAGTTAAAGATGGGACGGTGCGGCACGTTTGGGTGATGTGACTGTAAGGAGGGATTAATCAAGAGGTGAATTCTCTCACATCACATCACATCACGTCACGTCACGTCACGTCACATCACCTCACATCCCATCCCGTCCCGTCCCATCCCATCCCATCCCATCCCATCCCATCCCATCCCATCCCATCCCATCCCATCCCATCCCATCCCATCCCATCCCATCCCATCCCATCCCATCCCATCCCAACCCATCCCATCACACGGAAACAGGTAGGTGAAATAACCAGCGCACCAGCAGAAACGAGCTGCAGGAGCGGGCGAGGAGCTTCAGGGAGTAAGCCCCGATGTGACATCCCATCCCATCCAATCCCATCCCATCCCACCACACCACACCTCATCAAAAGAGCAGGTTGAGAGGGAAGGCAGCGCACCAGCAGCAGCGCGCTGAGTGGGCAAAGGAGGGGTGTAAGCCTCGATGTGACATCCCATCCCATAACAGCCCATACCATTTCCTTTCAATACACAAAAACAGGAGGAGGGGTCAGAGGGCAGGAAGCGCACCAGCAGCAGCGCGCTGCAGGAGCGCGCGAGGAGCTTCAGGGATGGGCGGCTGCTGAAGTAGCCCGACCAGTAGGGCCCATCGTCCTGATAGCTGGGGCGAGGGGAGGGGAAAGGGGGGAGAGTGGGCGGGGAGAGAAGGGGGGAGGGTATGTGAGAATTCTATGCGGAGAATGGGTCCTCCTGTGAAGTAGCCCGACCAGTATGGCCCATCGTCCCCATAGCTGGGGCGAGGGGGGCATGCAAAAGGGACCCCGTAACGTAATGGGTTTTATGTGAATGGATGCAGTGTGGGGAGTGCGAGTGGGCATGGATGGGTGCATGTGGGTGGGAACGGATGCTTGCAGGGTTGAAGAGATAGTTGCGACGAGCGACTTACGGGAACATGTCACCAGTCTTGAGAGGCCACGTGGCATTGGTGGAATGAAGTGCGTCCAGATACATGGATGGCGTGGAATAGAGCGCGTTCACCCTCCCGTCCTGTAACCCGGTTGCACCGTTACATGGTTATGAAGTTACACAGTAACAGGGTTACACAAATACTAAATGGTTGGGAAACACATCATTTGGAGGTGTAAAGTCACAGCTGTATCCTTGTGCAAAGAAACGATTTGCTATATGATATTGTAAGGGTGCTAACGAGACAGCATTATGTTTGTACACTGCAGATCAACGGCGCTGTCCATTGACTGATATTGTTTTTAGAAACCGCACCAACACCATTCTCTCACGAAAATGTGCTTGAATTCTCTATCCATGCGATGTTAGCCCGAGCCGTGCCATCCCCCCCATCCAATCCATCCCACCATGGTATATCACACCACCAGCCAAGCACCCAGCCACTCAACAAGCACCAACGAGCGACTGACCAGGTTGACGTAGTGAATGAGCTTATCCATGTTCTTGAACCACGAGATGGCTCGGTCAAACGCAAAGTCCTCGCCCATGGGGAACAGCAGGTGGTTCGTCTTGAAGCCCTCCGCCTGCTCAAGAGTTCGGGAGAGAAGCAGACAAAACAGAAGACGAGTGAATGAAGTTTGGTTCAAAGCGAAGCCCTAGTCCTCCTCGCCCATGGGGAACAGCACGTGATTTGTCTTGAAGCCCTCCGCCTGATTTTAGGGAGTTTCTGTCACAGAATCTATTGGTAAGAACAATATATTCAGTAACATGTTTGTTTGGTGTAGAGAAGGTGGCGTTAGGCACTGTAGAGGGAATTGTTAGATGTACTGTAGCGAGGGGGTTGGGTTCATGGGAGTGACGCGAAGCTGGGGGACCCAGGGACCAGCAAGGCACGAGGAAGAAGAGCCCAAGGAGCATCGGGCCCTGGGCAATCTGGATGACCAATCCTGAAGTGCAGCAACTGGAAGTCAAGATAATCTTCTGGAAATTGGGCGACACGGGGTAGGAATTCAAATAGGCTAGGAATGCACAAACTCAAGTCGTTCTCTCGTTTGTTTGCCTAATATAGTGGATGTACGTTGCCAATCGACGCTACTACAGCTAGGTGACCAAGCCACTAGGGGCAGCCATCTTGTGGGAGGGAGAATCTCTCACAAACGAGAGAACAAGGGAAGGGATCAAGAACACGAAAAGGGCAAGAATAACGGTAAGAAAGAGAAGAGAGCAGGGACAGGAGGGAAGGAAGCAGGAGGAACACTGTTTTCCGACATTTTGGAGAGAGTAAGGTGCGGAGGAAGCAGTGGGTGAGTGAGTGAGTGAGTGAGTGCGCGAGTGAGTGAGGGAAGCAGGTGATTCGTCTTGAAGCCCTCCGTCTAATTGGGGGGTTCAAGAGAGAATGAGGCAGAGAGAGTGAAAGCAGTGAATGAGAGAGCGAGGTTTGGTTCAGGTGAAGTCATCGACTCGTGCCCATGGGGAACAGCACGTGATTCGTCTTGAAGCCCTCCGCCTGCTTGGGAGTTTGTGAGAGAGTGAGGCAGGGACTGAGTGAGTGAGTGAGTGAGTGAGTGAGTGAGTAAGTGAGTGAGTGAGTGAGTGAGGGCTTGGTCCAAGGAAAATTTTCCGCCCATGGAGAGCAGTAGGTGATTCGCCTTGAAGTCCTCTGTCTGCTTGGAAGTTTGGTTGAAAAGGCACAGAGGAAGCGGCGGCGAGTGAGTGCTGGTTGAACGCAAATCCTTGCCCATGGTCCATGGGAAACAGCACGTGATCTGTTTTATTGAAGCCCTACGCCTGCTTCAGGTTCAGGAGAAGCCATGCGTCAGCGAGTGAGTGCTTAAGTGAGTGAGTGAGTGAATGGAAGTCCGTCCAAGGCAAAGGCCTGCTTGGAGATTTGGCGATAGTTTTCTGCGTGGTGGGAAGGAGGAGGGGGGGGTGGGGGTAAAGAGTAAGTGAGGAACTGGTTGGCCTCTCCTATAGGTGTGAGGCGCAGTGCTAGGTCCTAAGCAACTGGGGCCCCTTGTGGGGTGTGTGAGATGGGAATCCCGGAAGGAAAGGGTAAGGCAGCAAGAGGAACGAGGGGTTTTGAGATAGAGGTTTTGGTGGGTGACAAGGTGCTGTGGATGGTACAGGGGTGGGCTCATGACGCGTGCACAAGAGAACCTGGAATAGTAATGAAGGACCTCGAAACTTTCCCCACGCGAGTACCAAAAAAATATGATAAATTTGAGACGCTTAACGCCGCGCTTCAAATCTGTAACTTCACTCATTGTAGAGACCATATGCTGCTCCTCAGCATGATCCGCACGTGCAAGTGTACCTGCCGAGGCACAGCACAGTCCAATCCAAGCGCCACTCACTCTCTTGGTCACTTCTGCAACAAACTCGTCCACTAGGCGCTGCACGTTGGGCGACCCCCCATAGGGATTGTCCTGAGCAGAGGGAGAGGGCAGAGGGGAGATGGAAGAGCAGAGGGGGCATGAAAGAGCAGAGGGGGCATGAATGAGCAGAGGGCGTGGAAGGTGTACTCTCAGGATTGTCCTGAACAAGGGGGAAATGACGGGCAGAGGGGGCATGGAAGAGCAAAGGGTGTGCACGAGAGCAGGGGGAGCTGCAGGGTGCGACATGGCAGGAGGGGGGGAGTCACGTTACGCTTGCAGACTGAAAGGGGGTTGTCAGCCGCAGAGGTTTCTAGTGCACATTGGACCAGGGAATCAAGCAAGTGACTAGCCGGAATACTTAATACCGAAAGGCATGGTGCTGACAGGCATGGTGCTGACAGGCATGGTGCTGACAGGCATGGTGCTGACAGGCATGGTGCTGACAGGCATGGTGCTGACAGGCATGGTGCTGACAGGCATGGTGCTGACAGGCATGGTGCTGACAGGCATGGTGCTGACAGGCATGGTGCTGACAGGCATGGTGCTAACAGGCATGGTGCTGACAGGCATGGTGCTGACAGGCATGGTGCTGACAGGCATGGTGCTGACAGGCATGGTGCTGACAGGCATGGTGCTGACAGGCATGGTGCTGACAGGCATGGTGCTGACAGGCATGGTGCTGACAGGCATGGTGCTGACAGGCATGGTGTGGGAAGGCATGGTGTGGGAAGGCATGGTGTGGGAAGGCATGGTGTGGGAAGGCATGGTGTGGGAAGGCATGGTGTGGGAAGGCATGGTGTGGGAAGGCATGGTGTGGGAAGGCATGGTGTGGGAAGGCATGGTGTGGGAAGGCATGGTGTGGAAAGGCATGGTGTGGGAAGGCATGGTGTGGGAAGGCATGGTGTGGGAAGGCATGGTGTGGGAAGGCATGGTGTGGGAAGGCATGGTGTGGGAAGGCATGGTGTGGAAAGGCATGGTGTGGGAAGGCATGGTGTGGGAAGGCATGGTGTGGGAAGGCATGGTGTGGGAAGGCATGGTGTGGGAAGGCATGGTGTGGGAAGGCATGGTGTGGGAAGGCATGGTGTGGAAAGGCATGGTGTGGGAAGGCATGGTGTGGGAAGGCATGGTGTGGGAAGGCATGGTGTGGGAAGGCATGGTGTGGGAAGGCATGGTGTGGGAAGGCATGGTGTGGGAAGGCATGGTGTGGGAAGGCATGGTGTGGAAATGCATGGTGTGGGAAGGCATGGTGTGGAAATGCATGGTGTGGAGAGTCCACGATTGGGTTTGGTGGGCAGAGAGAGGGGCTTGGCTACGGGAGAGGTGCACAAGCAGCATGGCTGACCACTGTGGCGGAGCAGAGGGGCGAGTGCAGAGCAGTAGTCAATGTCCCAAGGATCCAAGCTCATAGTGGAGTAGCAGCAAACCTATCGAAAACGCTTAAGCAACTAGGAACGAAACAAAAAAAATGCTTCCCAGAGATTCAAGTAGGCCAAGAAACTCTCAACTCGTAGGAGAGAGGGGCGAGTGCAGAGCAGCAGAGGGAGCGAGTGAGTACCTGAATGCGGTAGGTAGGATCATCTGAGTCCTGGTAGCGGAACTGCGAGGGCGAGTAGTAGCCGTCATAGGAGACCATTCCCAGCACCTGGGGGAGGGTTAAAGAGGGGTGGAGAGGGTTGGAGAGGGGTGGAGAGGGGAGTGGTTGGTAGGGTCGTCTGTGTCCTGGTAGCGGAACTGCGAGGGCGAGTAATAGCCGCCGTACGAGACCATGCCCAATACCTGAGAGGGGGGTTGGCATGAGATGTTGAGTGGAACGGCAGAAGGGCGGAGAGAGGATGAGAAAAGCGTGGGGGAGAGGCCCAGTGGTAGCTGTCTTAGGAGACCATTCACAGCACCTGAGAGGGGGGTTGGGATGAGTGGATGGCAGAGGGAGAGAGGTGGAGGGAGAGAGGTGGAGGTGGCGGAATGTGCAGTGTCCTGGCGGGCATGTGAGCCTGCTTCTCCTGTTAAGTCCACAGCAGCACACCCTACCACTCAGTCAGCCTCACATGTCACACACACACGCACCTGGTTGTCCCTCTGCCTTGCCCCCTCGCCCATCACACAAACTCCATTGTTTTGGCAGCCAGAGGAGCCTCCCTCTCCTGCTCCTCCACCAAATCCCCCTTTCGCCTCACCCTACCATTCGCTGAGCCTCCTCGCATACCACACACGCACCTGGTTGTCGCTCTGTCTTGCCCCCTCGGCGCGCCACACAAACTCCATTGTCCTGGAGGCCAAACGAGTCTCCTTCTCCTGCTGGTCCACCCTCCCCATGAACACCGCTTCTAGCCCCGCCTGGTGGAGAGATGCGAGTGGGGAAAGGGTGGGGGAAAGGGAGGAGGGGGAGGGGGGGGGGGGGGGAGGGGGGGGAAGGGTTGTGGATGAAATGGGATGGGGGAACGAAGAAGGGGCAGGGGGTGGAATGGGCAGGCGACCATGCGACCCTCCTTCTCCTGCTCGCCCGCCCTCTCCATGAACACTGCGCCCAGCCCCACCTGGTGGAGAGATGCGTGTGTAGAGGAGTTGTGGGGGCGGAAGAAACAGTGCAGGGGTTGGATGGATGGAGGGGGCGGCCATGCAACCCTCCTTCTCCTGCTCGTCCGCCCTCCCCATGAACACTGCGCCCAGCCCCACCTGGTGCAGACGCGTGTGGGGAAATGGTGGGTGTGGGGGGAGAGGAAAAGGGCAGGGGGGCGATGGTGGGGGCGGGTATGCGAGCGTGCTTCTCGTGTTGGTCCACCGCCCTCCCCATGAACACTGCTTCCAGCCCTGCCTGGTGGACACGCGTGTGGAGGGTCGGGGGAAAGGGGTCAGGGTTTGAGTGGGCGGGCAAACGAGTCGCCCTCTCCTGCTGATCCGCCGTCCCCATGAACACCACGTCCAGTCCAGCCCTGCCTGGTGGTGGATATGTGTGCGGTGTGTCGAGAGGGTAGGCATGAGCATTTACCCGACCCGACCCGACCCGACCCGAACAGTCCAGGTCGACCCGACCCGAGGCGGGTCAAAAAACTCTCTGCCCAAGCTACCCGGAGGGTCGGAAAATTCTGCTGACGGGAAGGCAGAAGGCAAGGCGGGCACATGAACATTTGGAGTCGAAGTCTGCAGAGGCAGGCTGGAGTGGAGGATCTCAGCAGACGCTGGAAGGCAAGCGCAAGCACAAGGCTCTGCGTTCATGAGAGGATGCAGTTGACGGCTTTCTGAAAGATGATTCGGATGAGGAACTTTCACATTGACGTCAAGAAGGAAGCGGAGAAGGGGAGAATAGCCTTGTCCTGGCTTCGCTCACTGCTATTCTCCCCTTCTCGGGGAGGGAAGGGGGGGAAGGGGAAAAGAGGGGGGAAAGGGGAGCGGAAGGGGGGGATGAAACGAGCGGGGCGTGCTTGCTTCTCCTGCTTGTGCGTCCTCCCTATGGATAGTGCGTCTCGGCCCGACAGATGGGGATGTGTGTGGGAAGGGAGGGGGAGGTGGGGAGAAAACGGGATGGGGGAGGGAAGAAGAGCGGGGAAGAGGGGCAGGGCATTTCTCCTGCTTGTCCACCCTCCTTGTGAGCACCTCGTCCAACCTGACTGGCAGAGACGTGCGATGGAGGCATTGAGAGAGAGGACAAAGGGGAGCGCGAGGGGGGGGTGGGGGTGGGGGGGGTGGGGGGGTAGGGGGTGATGGGGGGAGAAGAGAAATGGGTGGGGCCGGGATAACCACCTGCAAATCACCTGCACCTCACCTCCACATCACCTGCACATCACCTGCACCTCACCTCCACATCACCTGCACATCACCTGCACCTCACCTCCACATCACCTGCACATCACCTGCACCTCACCTGCACATCACCTGCACCTCACCTGCACATCACCTCACCTGCACCTCACCTGCACCTCACCTCACCTGCATACCTCGGGTGCATTAGCCAAGGTGGCACCTGTCCAGGCCGCACCTGAGAGGTGATGAGGCTGGCAGCTGTCAGTGCCACACCCGTCAGTGCCACACCCAACTGTCACTGCGCACCTGAACGGTGATGAGGCTGGCTTGGGTGGCGGAGTGGCCGAAGGGGTCGATCTGCCAGGCGATCGAGGGGGTGACGTTGAATATCCACACACACCCGTCACTTACAAGCACCATTCAGCGCCACCCTTGACTGTACCACACCATTCAATGCCACACCACCCACCAGTCACAGCGTACCTGGGCGGTGATGAGGCTGGCTTGGGTGGCGGAGTGGCCGAAGGGGTCGATCTGCCAGGCGATGCGCGGGGTGATGTTGAAGTGCGCCATGAGGAAGCGGTGCCCCATGGCCATCTGATGCACCATGTCCGTGTAGTGTGTGCACGCCTCGTCATGCATCACCCACCCGCCGTTGCTGCACACACAAGGCACGTGGAAGGCACATGGAAGGCATGTGTGTGTGGGGTGGGGGGTGGGGGAGGGGATGGAGGGTAAGGGGGGGGGATGAAGCAGTGGCTTGTGGGCATCTGCTGCACCATATCCGTGAAATGCATGCACGCGTCATGGAAGGGTTCTGGAGAGAAGAGGGGGAGTATGAGGGAGGGGGGAGGGTGGGGGGGTGCAGGAGTGGTTCTTTACCATCCGGTGTGTAACATGCATGACCTACTCACAATCCTCTGGGATGAAGGCATGCATGTGAATACGAGAAGACGCCACAACTTCGATGGTTTTCTTTTATGAACCTTTATGTATGGTAGCATAAAAGCTGGCCTACTTGAAGAATTGTGTGTCCTCATTATCCACAACAGAACGCCCTATCTTCAGCCAACCCAGTACTTTGTTGAGGCGCACGCGTCTTCACTTACATGAACTCCAATTGACCAGAAGCCACCAGCTTCCGTACTTTGTCCCGCATTGGTTCGTTCTGACGCTCCCACCAACGATAGAAAAAACCCTGCAGGCACAGATATGTCCGGAAGGAAACATGCTAACCGATCCGAAGTGGGCGGCCAGAAATGAATGTTACTTTTGCACTCAATGCACTCAATGAAAACGGCGGAGTCCACATCGCAAAAATGTAAAGATTTAGCTTCTGTGTTCATTCTCTACCACTGTGCAAAACAGAAAGCTCCACGTGAACGCAATAAGTCCACTCGTAACCAAGTCTACGCTTGCCTTGCTAGATTCACAACTCAGCAGATGTAAGGAGATAGTGCTTGGGTGGCAATAATAAGGCGACGTTGACCTGAATCGACTTTTGCCAAACGACGGTCTCACCTGCTCGACCTGAATGAACTTGCGGTCAGGATTGTCCGAAAGCTGGTCAACGACTGTCTCGATGATGTACTGTACCGTGTCGACCTGCAGTGATATTCAACAACAGAAACAGGGAGTGGATGAATGTTAGTCTATCTAGGGCTTGCGTTCTTTGCACCGTGTCGACCTGCACTGCAGTGATGTGGTGTCGTTATAACGAGATAGAAACAGGGTGAACGAAGGTCAGCCATTATAAATTCCGCGGACCACGTCATACGAGCCACGTCAACCTTCTCACGTCATGAAAATTCCTAGCTTTCCGAATCTCAAAGATAGACCTTCAGCCAGGGTTAGATCTCTCTGATCGACTTCCCTCAGAAACACAGCCCGTGGAGGCCGTTGCATTTCCATGCAAATTCCTTCGACACCCCTTGAAACGTTCTTGCAAAGAATGCGCTGCGTAATACTGACGAGTGGACGAGTTCAGAGACTGTTTCTGCCAGACACTACCGCAAGCATTCGTTCTCCAGTCTCGGCATTCTGCGAATCCCGTACTCACGTAATATTGGTCAATGGTTTTTAGCCAACCAAGGTCGTCGTGTGAGTGAGCCACCAAGTGTACGTTCAGCTTTCCGTTTACGAGTAGAGCGCTCGTGTTGTAACGAAATGGCACGATCTCCTCAAACGAGGATAAAGCTTCATTGTCAACCGGCGTGATCGGCGTCTGATCGCTCTGAACCGTTGCTGTTTCTACCCGTTCTAAGGATATGATTGGGATGCGTGTTGACAGTGACTGCTGCAGCATCAGCAAAGTGAAGCCCGTCAAGATGCCTATAACGAACGGCGGCACGAGCACTGCGGCTCGATTCCATGACGTCATCACTGAAGTCATCTAGTTCTACTCGTAAGAAGTATTATCGGAAAGAAACGGCTTTTGCGGATGCAATGGAAGGAAAAACAGGATCACCATACTCCGTCATACTCTGTCTTGAATAGTTCCGAAATGAGGTATCTTCGGCCGCGCTGCCAAGGATCCGAGAACACCCTCGGTGATATTGTTCTCCCTTCCGTGTGTGAAGGTTGAGGCTGGTGGGTAGCGAGCGGTTGAAAGTGGTGAGAAATAAAATCGTTCCAGAATGCACAGCATCGTAATGAACCGCTTTCGATGAGCAAAAGTGAATTCTGGGAATCTGGTGGAGGTTGGAGGTTGCAAGCAAGTCGAATGGAATTGGAGCGCTGCATTCCGCTTGCTTGTCTTGGGAGTTGACGTTGAGTGGGACTAGGTTGGATTACCGTACCTCTGTAACACACACAAACCACCTACAAACCATTCTAGACCACGGAACGTCCCGAGTTGGGTTCCTGGATGGAAGTCAAAATGTCACCAATCACGTCGGTCACAGCTTCGCTATTGTCGGCGCGGCGAAGGCTACACATCGCTAGTTTGGATTTGTTCGAGGTCTGCTCCATCCCAACACTGTGCGTACGTAATGCCAGGGATGTGTTTCTGGGTAGCCCAAATTCCTCGGGACGCGGTACATATGGGTTCATCAGGGCTAAACGGCGAGTTTCGTAAAGACAGACAGGTAACACGCGGTTCCGAACGTTTCAAACCTTGAACCCCTCAGATCTGAGATGTACCTCCAGAGTCGCGATAGTCGGGACCACTGGAGAGATTTGCGCCAGGCACGGGTTTGAAGATTGCTTGTTGCACACGTGGACTTCATTTTCCCCCGTAGTTGTACATTCATGCGATAATTGCAGGAGTGGTTCTGCCAGGGCATTCCTACAAATTTTGTCTTAGCCAGCACATTACGCGATAAGGGTATTTATCCTCCAGAGTTTCTGTTCGCACTTGTCTCATCCCGTCGTTGCATAGGGTATTATTCTCCACTCGAGCATAAACTATGCGCGTTTATAAAGGTTTATGCGCGATAATCTAAATGTCGTTTAGCGCTGAACGAGGGTAAAAAAAACTAAAACCCATCGCGAACGGCATGCCATTCAGGAGGCATCAAGCCTAAAATTTTAAGGTTGATGCCTCCCGAATGGCATGCCTTCCGAGTGGGTTTCATTTTATTTCTAGCCCACGTTCAGAATGCTGACTCTCGACGGGATGATACATGGGCGAACAATAACTTTGGGGGATAAATACCCTTAGCGGGTAATGTGCCGGGTAAAAAAAAGGCAGCGGAAATCCCCTGGCAAGACCACTCGAGAAATTATCGGTTAAAAGTAGAACCACGGTAGCGAATGGAGGCCACGTGTGCAACACCCAATCTCCAAATACGGGTTTGGAGCAAATCTCTCGGACCACTGACGTAAAAAACCAGACACGTATCATGCTGAGAACCAGCAGATTCTGACCCCCTCTTTTGTACAAATATAATTAAAGAGTGTATTGCTGTCATATACCGCTGGTATTATAACCCTGTTATGATTGTCAATACAAGAGCGCACGGAATTAAAAAAAAAAAAAAAAAAAAAAAAAAAACTAAGATGTGATTGCTAATAATCATCATACCATTGAGGGCCTAGGCAATATGTAGTGAGGGACCCCCTTAAGGTATATTCCTGTCTTGACAATCGATTGTGACGCGCAAAAACTGCAATGTTTTCCTGTGTCTGAAACGTTGGCCGCCTTAATGCGACATATGGCGTATTCTACATTGGTTAGCGTAATTCACGCTAACGTCGCCAACGCGTTGCATGCAGCCCCGTCAATCTCCACTCATCGCACGTCTCGAAATGTCAGTCTCTCGAAGGTCGGGGGTCAATGTCAAACTGCATTATATGCTTGTAGGCTGTAGTGGGATAGCCCATAAAGGGTACAACCTTTTTAGGGTTGCATACTTGGTATCATGCGCTAGGTTAGGTCCGATTGCCGAACCTACTACTGAACCTACGACTAGGCCCGACTGCCAAACCTACTACCAAACCTACGACTAGGTTAGGTTTGCCCCGCTGCCCCGTGTGCCCTGCTGCCCTGCGCGCCCCGCGCGCCCTGCTGCCCCGCGCTGCCCTGCTATGCGCGTCGCGCTACCCTGCCTGCGCCTTCGCGCTGCCCTGCCCTGCGCGTCGTGCTGCCCTGTCCACGGCGTCGCGCTGCCCTGCCCCGCGAGTCACGCTACCCTGCCAGCCCGACCGTCGCGCTGCCCTGCCCGCCCGACCGTCGCGCGGACCTGCCCGCCCGCGTGTCGCGCTGCCCTGACCGCCCGCGCGTCGCGCTGCCCTGCCCGCCAGCGCGCCCTGCTGCCCACGCGCCCTGCGCGCCTTGCTGCCCCGTGCACCCCGCGCGCCCTACTGCCCTACGCGCCCCGCTCGCCCTGCTGCCCCGTGCGCTCTGCCCCTGCTGCCCTGCGCGCACTGCCGCTGCTGCTGCCGCCAACTGCTGCCGCCTGCAGCCGCCTATGTGGTGCAGCCAGCTGCTGCCGCCCTTGCTGTCGCCTATGCACGCTGCTACAGTCGCTACCACTCCTACTTCTGCCACTGCTGCCACTGCACCTGCCGTTTCAGCTATCGCCGCTGCAGTCGCTACTTCAGCCCTTGCGCTGCTACAGATGACTGCCGCCGCCTGTCATGGCCACTATCACTGTCCTAGCGGTTGATGCAGACCGGCGCCCTTTCATGTTCGAGTTGTGGCTCACCAACCTGCGCCGGTATCTCCGGCGTTTCGTTTGAGATTGCGTTTCCCTACTCGAGCACACGTCGGGGTCTCTTCAGGCCCCCACTACTCCCACTGAGCCTGATGCTGACACTGGAGAGGACGCGCAGTGGCGGTACCGGGCGGACTGCCTTGCCTACACACAGTGGACGGAGCACGACGCTGTTGCACAGCTTGCCGTCCGAGCTCACCTACCACTTTCACCAGGTGACGTCGGCCCAGATTTTTTAAGACGATGTGGTTAGTCACTACTCCTCCCTCTCTCCTGCCACCCGGCCACTGCGGAAGCACCGTCCGTTGTTAGGGGAGGTGCAGCAGCTAGTCGAGGAGGCGAGTGTAGGTACATGTGCGTCTGTTCGTACAGGTGGTGCAGTTGGTAGAGGCGGAGGATTTGGGGGTGGACAGCTGCGGCAGCAGTGTCAGCAGTAGACAGTCCCTCGTGGTGTAGAGGCTGCTAGTCTAGGTGCCTGTGAGCCTGCTGGCTCAGGTGCAGCTTATGTGGAGGTTTTGCACACCTTCACGCTTGACTGGCGCCCACCTCGCCACGTTCACTCGGAGACACGGGTCTGGCTTGTACTCACTGAGTCTGCACATGTAGTTGCGTCTGGTCAGGTAGCAGCGTCTTGCTCGTGTCGGTTACCCACTCACCCGTCTCTCCTCTGGCACCACCGTCTGGGTCACCCATCTTTGACGCGTATACGTAGCATGCACTCCCGTCTCCTTGTCTCTGGCCTCCCCAGGTCCCTGCCCCCGCTCCCGCGGTCGCCTGCACCGACGTGCCTTTCCTGCGTCGAGGGGCGGCAGTGCGCCGCTCCTCACTCCTCCTCGTTTCTCTCCAACCACTGCTCCTCTGCAGACTCTCCACATGGACGTGTGGGGCCCCGCCCGCGTCCGTGGACAGGACCACGAGCGCTACTTTCTGCTGGTTGTTGACGACTGCACGCGCTAGACCACGGTCCTCCCCTTGCAGAGCAAGGCAGATGTCCGCAGTATTTTGATCCCCTGGATCCGCAGTGTTCGTCGCCAGCTGAGCGCACTGTTTCAGCAGGACCTTCAGGTCCTGCGACTGCACTCTAACAGAGGCGGTGAGTTTTCCTCCCGCCTCCTTGAGGACTTTTGTCGTGAGGAGGGCATAGCCCAGTCGTTCGCGCTTCCGGCCTCTCCACAGCATAATGGGATTGCTTAGCGCCGCATTGGCTTGATCATGGAGGTTGCTCGCACCTCCATGATCCATGCGGCTGCTCCCCATTTTCTGTGGCCGTTTGTGGTCCGATACGCCGCGCATCAGCTCAACCTCTGGCCCCGTGTCTCTGTGCCAGAGACCTTGCCCACACTGCGTTGGACGGGGGAGCTTGGCGATGCGTCGGCGTTTAGGGTCTGGGGCTCGCTCTCCCTTGCCCGCGATACTACCGCGGGCAAGCTCTTTCTCGCACAGCTCGCT